AAAGAGAAATGAGATGGCTTAGATCACTCCACTAAAATACTCTGTTACTGGATTGTGGTGAAATAGTTCATAATGAATGCCAACAATTGCTTAAAATGTCAAAACTTGCCAACAAAATATGCTGTACATTCTGGTACTTGCAGTTTTTACCAAATACCCCCCCCCAAAAGACAAACAAACAAACAACCGTGATCAGCGGCGGCATATCCCAGATGGTCTGGCTGGCTTTTCATTAAGGATTCTCAGTGACAGCTTCTCACTAAGTTAGGGGGTACTGCCGCAGGGAAAGACTACCAAATGTTTAAAAGTACAATTATAATCCTATGAACTGATTGCATGGATGCGGTTTTCAGGTGTATATTCTCGCTTAAAAACATCTTAAAACCACTCATCACAGCAGGTTATGTAAAGCCACTCTCTTACTTGCACATTCTATCGTACACCAGAGTCCAGCAAATTACATCAGATACGTCAGCACACTATTTGCTTGAAGCAAATTGAGGGCATCAAAAAATGCACTTGACCCGCATCTGACTTCAATACATTCCAGATGACAAGTAGGACACGTTTTGACTCTCAAAGCCTGTTCGGTGTACATGCAACATACGGACAAGTTTGTTACGACTTCTTTAAGACCTCTTTGGTTTTCCAGAACCCAATGAATGGGATTGGAACCAAGAGCAGGATGTATTAGGGGTGGACAATAACTCAGGAGATCAAAATGTGATATGATATTTCCAGGGTTTTAATATACATTACAGTCTATGTTTACACCTTTTATCCTTGACTGATGTCCAGGTTTAGATTTATGAGTTTTGTGTTTTAAAGCAGATATTTCTAAAATGTTATATTGGAGGGGTTTCATAAATTTGGCAAAATAATCATAAGTTTGTAAAGGATTTTGCTGTGGACATTTCCGGCAGTATTTGTGAGGCTTTTATTTTTTGTTTGATTTTGTAATTATATTGTATTGACCAAAACAAAGAAATATATTGTGATATATATTTTGGCCATATCGTTAAGCCCTAGCATTAATTAATCATATCAGATAACAAGAAAAATTTGTATTTAAACGCTTTATTAAGTGCAACAAAAGATATCAAAATAAAATGTACGGAAATTAGAAAATTTTGATTATTTAATTATTTTACTTATCTAAATTTGTTTGCCTTAAGTGATGCAAATGGAAAGTGACACTACCTTTCATTTTTTTTTTTTTTATATTACACTCACAGCATTTTACTTGCTAATATTATTTAAATAAACACTTCTACTGGCACCTCTACTGGCAAATCAAAGAGCTGGTGCTGAGATGGCATCATTTTTTTGGCTGCTCTTTTGGTACGAGTCTTTGCTCAGAGAAACAGAAAGAATTTTAACACTTGAATAACTTCAGTAGAAAAGACCCATGAGTCATCAGTCTTTCCCGCTCCTTACATTCCTGCATTGATCAAACCCATTACTTGCTTATGAACGTAGAGTTCCATGAGCACAATCTGGTTTTACATCATCAAATATGCAAGACATGTCTGTTATTTTCATTCATGAGACACAGTATATGTTCAGCTTAACGTCTTACACAGTGTAGAGGCCATGAATGCTGTCAGCTGCAGAAGAAAAAAAGCAGATCTGAAACGGCAGAAGGGAAGCTTTTAGATTAAAACCACATTTCCCTTCTGCTGAGAAATATTACAGATGTATTTCATCTGAATTTTACAAACCTTTGGAGTTTTTCATTTGGCCCTACCCAATTTCAACAGCTCTTTTTTGCAAGAAACTAAGCTAAAAGCAATCGGCTATGGAATGATCGTGTGTAACAGTTCCTATGTGATTTTAAGTGGAAATACAGCTGAGCTTTACTCAGCATGACTAAAAATGAGCTGGCAAAACCATATCATGCTTCCAATATGTCCTGATGCCCTGAGAACCAACAGCTCTCCAGGAGTTACAGTAAAGCTGATCAATGGGAGGACGCTGTTGCCCAGATAAACTTCAGACCCAACATCCCAGCTATTCTAAGAGTACTCCAGCACCTAATGCCAATTACATTTAATTCAGTCTGGTAAACCACCATTGATTCCAGATAATGCTGGCTGCTGGACGAATCACAGCGCAAAAGGCGAGACTTTACGAGGCATGATTCTAAGCGCCAGAATTACCAATAATACAGCAGCACTTTTCTGCTAGCATAACATCAAGCTGGTGACTGCAAAGAAGCAATGTTGCGATGAAAATTAAAAACGCATTCAGACCAAGACTTAAATGCTCTTATATGCTAGAAGAAATCATTCATTGGAGAGTTTCTTCAACGACTTGACATCTTTCACGGACTACAGAATTACAAAAACAGAGCGCATCACTAGGAGTTTTTATTTCATCTTTAGTTATCATCTTTAGATCCTGTTAGTCCGGCCTTTCACATCCAGCTCTAACAGTTCTTTACCAGGAAGATAAGCCGTGTATACATCGCATCAGTCTGGCTGGCCAGGCTATGTTTTTCCAATAATTTACCAAAAACTCAAGAATGAATGAGGTCTTCATTTTGTAAATGATTAAAGTGTTACTTCCTTAACCCATCCAGTCAATAAGGTATTTTACTTTACCTCAATTACTAAATGAACCTGTTAATTTAATCCCTAAAACACATACAAGAGATAAAGCCCACTGAAAGAAACAATGCAACCCTTTTTGGTATCTCCTTGATCATATTTAGTTACTTAACAAAATTGTTGTATGTCCTACCTTGCTATAATAATTTTTTTTTTTAAGTAACAACATATATTTAGGTAAATGTCAAAAATGGTTGCATTATTTTTTCAGTGCTTTGTACAAACCCTTTGTTTGACATTCTTGTTAAAATGTTCTGATCATTTTCATCCCTGCTGTATACTTATGAAAGCTAGAGTTGGCATCTCATCTGACTTTCCATAAATCTTTGAGATACTGGACAAGAATGGAATGGAAACCACATGCAAGAGTGAAGAGCGAAGAGGATAGATGGGGGGAGGTGGTGGTGTAAAAGGGGGAGATAGAGAGGAGGAGGACTCTACAAGTGGAACAGATAAATCAACCAACGGAAAAGCAAAGTGATCTAAGAAGATTTATTGGCTTCCTTCAAACAAAACCACATGCAGACGGAAATATGGGCAATGGCACACGGCCTTGCAGCACCCACAGAAATGCTCCTGGTTTATTGATAAATAACCTCCCCCTCTCTGTTAGTTTATCACCAAAAATTTGACATGACAGCCTATTCTCTTTCAGTTCCAAATTAGCTGTTTTGGTTAGCAAAGCAGATGTGCAGATCTAAAAGGTCAGACATGCCCACTTAATCCTGGTAAATCTCCCCCCTTGCACATCTCGCCAGCCTGTCAGCTTCTGTGTGACAACAGCCATCACAGACACATGCCTTTCTGGCTTTTTTAAAGCTCTCCAAACAAGATTCAGATTTTTTTTGCATCTCTGAGTGCTTATTGTCAACAAATAAACTATTTCTGTAAAAAAAACTGAAGCGTTAGCAAAAATGGGACATGAGCTCATCTACTTTTAAAAGAATTGGAAACGTAGCCACTTAACATCTGCTCCATACTGGTCCCTTTGGCTGCTGGGGTTTCTGTGGGCATCCACATCTGGGAAGAAACATCTGTCCTGGGTTCTACTAAAACAGACGCTTTGATGGAAAGGGATGAATGAACCTTTCTAACAGAGCTTAGACATGGTTTTACAGTAAATTCTCCATGGGGTGGGTTTTATGCTTTGGGGCTAAGTTCTGTAAAAACTTACATTTGTGGCCCATCATGCATGCTTCATGGAAATGATTTTGCTCATATTTCAGTTTGTAGCAATTGAAGATTTCAATAAAATCAGGGAAAAAAGAAGGACAAGAGTCTAGGATTTCAAGAACAATAGACAATTGCTTTCTGGTTTTCTGTCGTCCGTGAGGGCCAATATGAGAGGCATACCAACATAGAAAAGAGGTTTTCTTTTTTCATATGTTCAGACAAACACATCATACAGAACAAGTTCACAACTACTATAATAACAGTTTAATAAACTGATAAGAAAAAGATGTCATAAGGGCTAATAAAGGAGCTTAGTGTGGTATGTAACAGTATCTGTTTCTAAGCTTAGGGCTATCAGACAGCTTGCGACTTTAATTAGAATTCTGATTTTAGGTGATGTATTTAATTTTCCGACTGATATAAAACCCTGTTTTCCAGAACAAACTGGTTACAGCCTTTTATAAATATCTATATTTTTGTTACACTGTCCAGTCTGGCCATGTGGCATTAAAAATAATTGTCTTGATGCCAAAAAGCCCAACAGATTTTACTTTCACAAGTGGAGCAGTATGGCTATTGCCATAGTGTTCCAATTGTTTCATGCATATAAATTGCTTTATTATAATTATAGGCTGTTTACAGCCTTATAAAGATCATGGGTGGCATGCCTTCACTTTAAAAGACAGTAAAAGAGAAGTAAAGTCAAGGAGTGTTCAGTCAGCCAGCTTATGACAGTGCGCAGCAACAGGTGGAGGAGGGGCAATGCAGCAAAGTTAGAGTATATCTGTGATTTGTGCACTCTGACATCTCAGTAAATTGTCTCTATACTATTAGATATTTTAGATATGCATGTGCTTCAACTAAAAAGATGCACAGTAAAGCCTACACTAAAATTACAGCTAGCAATTACCTAATTTAAAGGGGTTTCAATTAAACTTTTGCTTTGGAAGGTCATATATTTAGTAAAATATATTAGTTTCTGAGTGTAGAGGAACCCCCCACTAGGTAGATAAAATAGAAACATAAAAACCTAAAACTGAATATATTTATCTGGAAGAAAAATTATTTGCAATGCATTAAATAGAGCCTACATTGATTAAATACCTAATAATAATAATAATAATAAAAAAAATCGTATGTTTTCATGTGAATTTAGGTACCCAGAAGATGAAACAAAGAGATTTTTTTTAACATAATAAAATATGAACCTAGTCTCACCTGTTTAAAGTCTGCCATAAAGGTGATGAGGGTCCCATCCCCTTGTTTAAACTCCAGCGATATCGAGTCTCTCTCACTGTCCGCCTCCAACACCTCCTCGGTCACCAACCCGTCAGATAGCCGGACTCGAACCCGCAGCTCTGAGCCCAATCCCAGGGTGAGCAGCAGCGCCAGGGCGCAGAGACGGACCAGCGCTCCAACAGAGGCGCAACTGGCAAACATCCCCAAAGACGCAAAACTGAACCCGACGGATCAAATAGTTGTGGCGAAATCTCAAGATCTGAGTTCATATCCTCCAACTGTCTCCCACACTTTTCTCCCCTCCACCTCCTTCAGCGTTAAGTTTTTTCCCCCATGTTTTTAAAGCTGCAGGTTTATGGGTCACTGCTCCATATGGTGCCGTGTGCGCCGATAGTTTCCAGAAGTGTAAACACAGTCATGGATCTCAGAGCCGCTGAGTAGAATCTGCGCTCCTCACTGCTGATAACTTTGTTCCATTGAAAAATCCTCTCTGCTCCGGTGCTGTGGAGATCATGCGCAGTCCACTCCCCCCACAAACTCTACTGACACGGTCCCACGTTCCTCCGGCTTTCTTTGCTTTGACTTGATACCTTTTCTCGCTTTTCTCTCCTCCTTCTGAATGCAGTGCCGTCACTTCCTGCCCGTAGGGTATCCCACTGATCGCCAGCCCTCCAAACTTTCTGCGTATGCGGTGTGAGTGAGGGAAAGAGGTGTTGGTAATAAACTCTTAAAGCCATAGGAACCTCTGAAAACCTTGCCCATCCCCCCTAAAAAAGGGTCTCATGTGATCTCTGGCACTCTGGCGAGTTTGCAAGACTAATAATACCCTAACAGAGATAACAAATGTTACTGGCAAATCACTGCTTTGTCGTTGTTGTTATTACCAAGCAAGCAGAAACGAAAGGTAAACTCTAACATGCAACTAGAGAGGAAAAATCAACAACAATAAAAACAGAGTGCATTGATAAAGTTTTCATAATCCTTTTTATTTTTTTAGTTTATGGTGCTACAACTGCAGGCTTCAGGGTACCATGTTTCAGATTGTATTGTTTTGGCAAATGTAATCTTAAAAGTGTGGCATGTATGTGTATTTAGTCCCTCTAAATTAATTTAGATTTTTTTTTTCTTTAACAGTGTCTCTGGCGATGTGGCAATAAGAATAACTGCCTTGATGCCAAAAAAAGCTCAACAGATTTTGCTTTCACAAACGGCTTGATTTGTGCATATATTATAATTCCTGCAGGGAGTATTACAGATTATATAGACACTGCAATGTAAGCAGAACAGAAAAAGAAAAACTGAAAAAAAAAAACTGAGAAAAGATGAAAGAAAGAGGAGATGAAAGGGAGGAATGATAAAACTTTGATTTTCTTCTGACAGTTAGCCTTTGGGGGGATGTCTGTCAGATTAACAAAAGGAGACTTAAACTTTCTTTTTGTCACTTAGGTCAAGCTTAGTCACATTAGAAAGAGAGGAATATGATAAATGATTTTCTAATCTTATCTCCCCCTCTTAATTAGATTTAGGTCTGGACTTTGACTGTGCCATTCTTGATTGTAACCTTGCTCTAATCTAAACCCTTCTATTGTTTCTTTGCCAGAAAGTTTATGGTAGTTATCATACTGAAAGTAAAACCTCCTCAGCTGTGTGATTTATTTATGTATTTGCAACCTTCAGTGTTTATTGCAATATAAAAAATAATAATTGTTCTGTATTTTGCTTTGTCTAATGCCTTTAAATTCCTCAGCATAGCATTAGTTCCTGCAGAATGCTGATATTAATCTTTGCATGCAAATCAGATGTGGGCAGAGGTGGTACCTATGGATCAGGGTTGAGGACAACTACCCTACTAGGCTTGTTGCAAATTTCAAAAGGACTTCTCAGGCATTTCTTTCAACCATGACCTTCTTCTTACCACATAAAGGCCAAATATGAGGATTACCCAACTAATAGTTTGGACTCTTCAACGGAAACTGTGGACTGCCAGAGCTCTTTAATGCTCTAACTAATACTTTGTTTTACTTGCCTGTATTTTAGAACAGAATAGAAGTACCATTATTGTCAGAATAAAGGGGAAATTTGGGCAAGACAGTGCAGAAACAAGTAGAAAGAAGAAACATTACCAAATACTGAACAACATAAAAAATGACAGAATTATTCAAGTAAAATCTGTAAACCTTGAAACCTGCACAAAAAAATGAATAAAGAAAAACACTGAAGACAGAAATAAACTGTGTTTTTGTCATAAAATGACATATTCATGTAAAAAAAAAAGAAATGTTTAAATTAAGAAAAGAAACAAGAGGTGTACAAAAAAACCTGCAAATAATCAATAATATCTTGATATATAGATTGATCAGATAACATTGATTAGATAACAAAAGAAAAATGGTAAACGCGATAAACGAGCAATGAGCCAAAAACTCTTCTTGATCAGTAAAAAAAACAAAAAACATAATAGTTTGGTTATAAACACTCATTGGGCCTGTTGTACACCAGGTGGTAGGAGCTGCAAGAGAACTCTCCTTTGCAATTAAGGTGCAACAGTTTCACTGCATGAGACCTTAAACTCTGCAGCTCCTTCTATTACAGTAGTGATGTTCTTTTCTAACAGTCATTCTTTCTCCTATTACTTGCATTGTACTCAGGGCTATCCAAGAGAGAGGTGGCCATTTAAATGAGCTTATGCAACTGCTTCCTCTTAGCTGCATATAAGCTGGCACTCCAACATAGTGAACCATAAAAGACAGCTGTGGGACGGCAGAGTCCCACTTTAAAATGCATGTCTCCTCAGCAGTATGGTCTGCATAGCCACTTTTTATAAAGAGCATCAGTGTTGTTATTGGCACACTACTGAATGTTCCCCAGAAGTGATGGATGGTAGTGAAAGTACAGGATAAATCAAAGAACGCGATCCTCTGCCCTACAATTTCAGGCTGGCTGGCCAACTGTATTACTCCAGTGACGAGCAGGAGGCCAACATGTTTAAGAGCCAGGCTCCAGGGTTTTCATCAGACACAAAGTTAATGTTCCTGCCACTAAATGCTGAGGTCCTAAAGAGTGTGTGGTCTAAGCCCCTGGTACCACACAGGATGTTGTCCACAGCATTGGTACGTTCCCCAGCTTGAGATTGCTGCTGAACACCTGTCTCATGATGCCACAGGTGATTTGTGCAGCACCTCTGGAACCTGAAGCTGATGCCATCTACCTTCCTCACCTTGATCTTACATGGTACATTCCTCACCTGGAGGGTTGAGAAAGGCGGGTCTTCAGATTTAAGATCTTTCAGATAAACCTTTACAGTTTTTCATTATGTAAGTTTAACCATGACAGAATCAAGATATTTGTAACAAAGCTTGACAATTATACAGAGCTTTCCGTTTTCCTTAGTAGTCACAGTGTTTGGTGTGGTGTGCCTGAATTACTGTTAAAAAAAAGTAATATGTAGTCAAAACAAACTTAATATTATAGTTTGAGTAACCACTGACCCAAACTTAAAGGTAATAGCTTTGCAATCTGGATACACAAATATTCCATTTTGTACTGATTTCTTTCTGTATAGTTAGGTGGACCTCAGACTATCACAATCTGAAAGATACATAATCATAAAAGTACATAAAAGTTCTCTATAGACAAATATTTCATTCAAATGTTAAAGCAATTGAAAAAAAATATATATCAACTACTTTGATGTTTTTAAAATATATCAACATAATGGTTTTGACCCTGTTCTAAGCAGTCATTTGCTGGAAAGTTGATCTCTGTTTTGTTAATTTAAAGATTATGTTATCTATACCCAAGGTCATGAACTTATTGTGAAAAGCACATAAAAAGCTATAGTATCTCTTTGCACATACCCCGTCCATGACCATCTGCTGAAAAAAGCTAGAAGAATCCACAACATCTGTTTGGGAAATTAGAAAAAAAAGAAGATTTTTTTTATTTTTAGGAAACTGAGTCAGAAAGAGCCCTAGTAGGAACTCTATTTAGCTTAAACCTCCCACTTCCCAACCATTTCTTTCTAATTCTAATTCTGCTAAATGTAAACACAAGACACTTGCCTTTTCACAAAATATGTTCACCATGAAGCCAGAAAAAGGAGGCTATTTCTAAATAGCCTCTGTTGGATTGTAATTGACCAATGTAGTTGCTCTCATTCAACGACCCTGCACAGAACTGAGCTTTCATGATGTAACATGCATTTTAAATGCAAATACCTGATAGACTAAATGTTTCGGTAATTATTGCTTTTAATGATAAAATTATCAAGACTTTTAACAACTAAAAAAATGAAAGCCCCCCTTTTATCTTCTTGCAATCTCCAGCTATGTCTCTGTTAGGCCATCCATGCAGGTTAAGTTAGGACAAAGTAAAGTAATTAGATGCATTTCTCCATATTGTAAATTATACCCAACTTCATAACACCAGCAGTGTAATTCCTATTACATAATCAACCACTAAATAGTGTTGTTTTCCCCTTTAATTCTCATGGTGTCACATGGAAACAAAATGTCGATTTGAAGGAACAAGCGCCTGTATTACACTTCCATCAAATCAGTTTAAATGCATCCAGTGCAGTTCTAGCCAGGCTTTTAATAGCAGGTATTCAGAGTGAGAGCAAAACCCGACACAAGCTTAAGTGTACAGAGGAAGTTTATGATTAACAGCCATGTTGTCCTGTGGTAATTACTGGCACAATCTGTAGTGCATGGTTAACCATGTCTGGACTTTGCCTCTGTATTTCGTCCATCAGAAGAGTAGTTGCTGAGTAACTTTATTATGAAGAGGAGTAAATAGACATAAGATTCATATAAAATACATGTTTTCTTTTATTACTTTTTAATTCTCATAAAACTAGACAGCTTTAGGATTATGTAATGGCTGATGACAGCAGACATACCACAACTCTTTTGGGTTTGGTGTGTAATCACACTGCTCAAGCCTGCTTTCACATAAATGGCCAAAATAGTAATTTTAGCCAAACTGTTTTGATAGTTGAATTTATAATAAATGAGCATGGATCATGTATAAACAGTTATCTTACAGTTTCAATAAGAAGTGCAGATTATATCATTGTGGATGTGAAAGTGATTATCAGAAACGTTTACTGTCCAGGGTGATATGATTAAACAAAAAGCATGGGCAACAATAGCTAGGTGCAAAGGTTTCAATTTATTGTGATTTTTTTCTGGTTAGATCTTTGAAATGGTGCTTGATACTAGAATGCCTAATAGCTTGATTAGCAACAAAACCCTGTAGCATATGAGCCTTAAAATTGACAGCATTCATTGTAATGACCATTGGAACGATGGTAATTTGAAGGTATTTTGTGAAAATATAAAGAAAGTAATGTCAGGAAAGTCTTATTCAGATATTTGCAGAGGTCAACGGATCCTTTTTCAGGCAATATAGGAATCCATCCTTCTTCTTCTGCTTATCTGTTGGTCATGGTGGGGCTGTACATGTTTCCAGCAGTCTATGGGGAAAAAGCAGGGTACACCCTGACCAGATCACCAGTCTATAACAGGGAAGAGACATAGAACCATGAATGCAAATGCCTAAGTGCAATTAAGAGACACCAATTAATCTAACAGTCATGCTTTTGGAGTGTGAGAGGAAAGTGGAGTAGAGAGAACCCAT